GAGCAGAGTGAAGAATGATGTTTTACTTGAAGCCCTGTTTGAGATGCAGATATTTACATTCTCTTTGTTGTTTCAATATGTTGGAATACAGTGAGTAGTGTTAATAATGAATTTAAAGTACTCATGATACACGCAAGTAAACAATAAAAGACAAAATTAAAAAATAATTGAATTTGAAGTTATCTCAATAGTGATTAATATAATAACAAAGAATTGTAGAAAATGAAAAGACAGTAGCATATACATTATATTTCATAAGAAAGTCTATTATCATTTAAAATACACAGAGGGTTAGTTCAAGGCAGCCAACACTCGAGAGAAATATGTAATGAATGACTTTCTAAGTGAACGTACAAAAAAAAAATAAGCATTTGTCAAGATTAGGAAGGGAGTATGTCACACCCTCCAATTGATCCATCGCTGAATGTATACTTAAGCGATATAAGGCAATTTTAGATTTAACACGTGTATCTTATAAGAAAAAGTAACTATGTCATATTATTGATAAAAAGTAAGTGTGATAACATAACAAATTGTCGACGAATAGAATTACTTTTGTAATGCATATAAATCGATCGTATTAAAATAGATCATCAGTAGAAGTGCGTCTTGTTCGGCTGAATAGCTACCTCTTACAATGCGACTAAATATGACATAGCAATGAGAAAAGAAAAAAAAACAGAATCGTTGTTACTACATTATTATTTCTACAGCACGTTTTTGCTTTTCTTATCGTAATAATAAATGTAAGAGCATATTCTAAAGAAAGAAAACATGCAAAGTATAAAAGAATCATTTTATGATTTAGAGGTCGTTGTGACACATTTATTCTACTTGGATTTGTGTTAAATTAATCGAAAAATTCGTTCAAAAAAAGTAAATATACTCTTACTCATAGAAATTTTAACAAAACTAATTAATTTATAAATTCTACCTATATTATGTCAATCGAAGAAATGACATGATATTTTATAGAAGAAGTCAAAGTTTCCTAGAGTTTGCTATAAGTTTTGTACAATAATCTATGAAAGATTTACAATTGAGTTTACTTCATGAAATTTACAGTAATTAAAAAGCGTATGTGTCCTAGACTGAAAGGATAGGATCTAGAAACGGAAATTCATATGTGTCTATCTGTCTATAACATAGTTACCATTTGGTTACTATGATCGAGAAGGATGACAGAAAACGATCAATGCGTTACCGATTGTGTCTTAGCATTTCATAGGGTATACGGATTTCGTATTCATCATCCTGGGACATAACTCTTTAGTTGATTTTATATCCTAATGCATAGGTATTTTTTTTTGTCTTTCTAAACAGTCATTTGCATTATATGCAAAATTTGGTTTTTCATTGTGAATATAAAAAAGTAAGTTTTATATTACGAAAACATTGCTTTTCTGAAATAAGTTGTCTCTTGTATATACTCTACTTGATGTATGTTCATACTTAGATACATCGATATGTATATCTCTAAAACGTTAGTCTAGAACTAAGTAGGTCAAATCTCGATAAATGTTACTTGTTTGAATAAACCAAAAACGAAAGTTTTCTTCTTCTTTAAATTTAGAATATTATTATGTCTGGTATTAATGATGATGGTAATTTGAGTGAACAAATTACAACAATGAATCTCGATAAGAAATTTTTATCTAATGATGAAAACCAGAAGAACATAGAAACCAGTAACATAAACTGTTTTTATGAACCTGCCAAATTTATTGATGAACAACGCTTAGAAAAAATTAAAAAAGCATTACCAACTATCGAAAAACTTTTTCAAGCAGTATTTGAAACAAATAATTTTCCTGGTCTTATCTATGGACTAATAGTTGATGGACAATTATTAAATACTCATAGTTTTGGTTATACAGATCTCGAACGAAAAATACCAATTACAACAAAATCATTATTTCGTATTGCATCAATGACAAAAAGTTTTACAGCTATGGCTATTATAAAACTTCGTGATGATGGTAAATTACGTCTTGATGATTCTGTTTATCAATATGTTCCTGAACTAAAAACAACTAATTTATTAACAACTGATGCACCAATAATTACAATTCGTCATCTATTAACTCAACATGTTGGTATGCCAGAAGATGATCCATGGGCAGATCGATTATTAGCTTTACCTGACAATGAATTTTTAGCAATATTAAAAAACGAAATTAGTATGTCAAATCCACCTGGTACTATATGGGAATATACAAATCTTTCTTATACAATATTAGGTAGAATTATTACAGTTATATCACAAATGTCTTATCAAGAATATATTAAACAAGAAATTCTTGATCCACTCGATATGAAAAATACATTCTGGGAATATAGTAAAATTCCATCAGAACTATTAGCTCATGGTTATCGTTGGGAATGTGAACGTTACTCTGAAGAAAATCTACTTCATGATGGAACATTTGGTGCCATGGGAGGATTAATTAGTTCAATTGAAGATTTTACTAAATATATATCATATCATTTACAAGCTTGGCCACCACGTAATGATCCCGAATATGGACCTTTAAAACGAAGTTCATTACGTGAAATGCATCATCCATGGAATTTTATAGAACTTAATACATATACACATCGTTCATGTTCAGTAGTCTATGCTTATTGTTATGGACTTATTTGGTCGAAAAACCACGATGGAATTGTATCTATTAATCATACTGGAGGTTTACCAGGTTTTGGTAGTAATTGGATAATATTACCTGAACATGGTATTGGACTTGTTTCATTTGCAAATAGAACTTATGCAGATTTGGGTTATGCTAATGAATTTATTATGGATAAAATAGTTACACTTGCTGGTTTAAAATCACGACAAATGTCTGTTTCGAAAATACTTACGGAAAGAAAACAACAAATAATAAAACTTATTTTTGAAAATAATTGGGATATAAATGATTCTGAAAAATCAAAGATATTTTCAGAAAATTTTTTTCTTGATCAAACATTAGAATTACGAAAAAAAGTTTCACAAGAATTATTTAATCAAGTAGGAAAAATTCTAAATATTGGAGAATTTATTCCAAAAAATCAATTACGTGGTCGATTTGAAATTCAATGTGAACATGGTAACATTCAAATTATGTTTAGTTTATCACCAGAAAATCCACCTTTAATTCAAGAATTAAAATTATCAAAAATTAACTAATCAAACTTCATTCGATTAGTTTCATGAAAATTATTTTCTTTTTTTTTTGTAAACATTGGTTTATTAGTAAATAAATATTTTAACGAAATCTATTTCGAAATAATTCCATATGAGACCTAATAATCTTATGTGATTAATGTTCTTGATCATAAGATTAAACTCACAAAGTTGATATTAATGGATGAATGCTGCAAATAAAAAATACTGAAAAAATTTCTAATTTCACTTTTGAATTAACAGTACAATGGTTTTAGATCCGGAAGAGTGCATATCTTTGACATTGTGTACGATTGAACTATGAGAAAGAATTGCCATCGATGACACAGTAATTTTCTGATATGATTGTCGATATGAAGTAGACATGAAAATATTATGACAAACTAAAGTATACGAAAAAAGCAGGTTCTATTCTTAATAAGAATGATTATAAAAATTGTTTCAATTAAAAAAATTGAAATAGTAATTAATTTTCGAGTACTTTTATAAGCACGACAATGTGAAAGCCGTACAAAAAAAGAAACAATTGGTACTAAATCAGAGTAATGATTAATAATGATAGGTCTAGTGAGAATACGTAGTTCTAATTATTAAAGATATAAAGAAGTTGTCAAAGCTTCCGCTACCACGTAAAAAGTATCTAAACATGAATCATTTAGTTTCATATTAAGTTGATGCCATCTTTGCCTATTCTTAGCATGAGAGTTGATAGATTTTATCACAAAAGTAACTTTTAATTTTAATCATTTTCAAGCTTTTGTCTCTTAAAATTCTCCAGTGAGCTTCCCACTCTAATCAAATCTTTTTGAAAAACTTCATGATAATAGCTATCAGTGCAGCAGAGTTTTATGCAAAATAATCAATCATCCAATAAGTTGAAAATATCGCTATATCTCAAGATCATAACAGATTATGGCCTCCTATATAGGTATATGAGATCACAGGTCGAAATCAAAAGCATTTTCATGAAAGACAATAAAACTTTTTCTTTATTTTTTAATAAAGAGTTAAATTAGTAATTCAGAAATTTATTTAAACAAATATTAAAAAAAACTAAACACCAAAAAACGGATACATTTCAATTGAGAGGTACATATGCATTAATTTACAATTGCTTTCTTTAGTCACATTTGAAAAAGTATTAAAAAATAGTCATTATGAAAATTTTCGTTCATCATCTTCTTGTTCTTCAACAATATGATTTTTGTCGTAATCTAAAAGATCCTTGTAATTTATCTTCATTCATAATTCATTGCTGGACAAAAAAAAGTCTTTGTTTGAAATCCTAGAAATAAAAAATCGTGTTCTGTCTTCTAAATCCGATTGTGGGCACCGTTTATGTTCACAACTTATCGAGTTCTGTTAATTGTAAAAATATCAGACAAAAAAAGATTCAATTTTGGTAACCTTTTCGACTGTTAGCGGAAGTTTCGATAGCTACTGTAAATATAACATTAATAACTAGCGACATCATGATATAGATGTCATGAAAGTCAACTTAATAATTGCAAGAAATTTTCCCAGCAATAATGATTCTTTCGGAAACGACGAATCCATTGATAGACAAATGAAAATGTTAATAAAACATCTTTCCTAACTATAGAATAATACGTTGCTTGTATATTCTATTGCTACATAAGATATATTTTTTTGTATAATTTTTATTGCGTATCAAAAAGGAGGTCTTTCATTGTTTTAAAATATCCATTTAAATGGCTGCCATTGTTTATTAAATTTTCTCTAGTAGGAATGGCTTTACAATTGGTCAGTCTATTTATTTTCTTATTCATAGTTGAAGATTGTAATTGTATTTGTGTAAATGTCATTAATATCAATGACAGGAGTACGCAAAACACGTTCAACAAATGCAACTTCAACATCACCATTATTATCTTCAACGGTTGATGAATCTACTATATTTGATGATCTTCGTAGAAATCTTCAATGTCCAATACAATTTATAAATATTTATAATCAATGTTATCAAATAACAAATCTTCGATCATCATTAATTGAAATTCTTTGTAATATATTATCAAATTCAATAAATGTTGATACTAAAATTCTTATATTCATTCTTGATAATTTCATAACAAATCATTCAAATTTACTTATAGAATTAACTGATATAGAATTCAAACAAGATTTATTACCGTTTATTAAACGTATATTATTAAAAACTGAAGATAATAATGATATATTATTATTAACATTACGATTTCTTATTATACTTATTGAAAATTATACAAATTTATTAAATTTAACATTAACAGAATGGTTATCAAGTATATTACATTTTATTGTTACACATATATCATCATCATCATATGATATTTATGGTGATTTAGTTATTGATTTACTTACAAAAATAGTTAAAAATTTTACACCATTACCTAAAGAAATTGTTGATGTATTAGGTCGATCACCATCATCAATTATTTCAACACAATTTCTTACGAAATTAAAATCATGGGTTAAACATGTTGATGATACTAAATTAGCTTTATTTGCTATACATTTATGGGAACCATTAGCTGCACTTCTTAGTCGATTATTAACACGTGGACATACGAAAGGAAATGAAATGTTAGCTGTTATGCAAGATGGTAGGATTAGTTTTTTGTATTTTATAGAGGAATTTTTATAAATAGAATCTACAGGAAAAAAAACTATTTGTACAACATCTGTGGATAATTAATGAGATTTTGGATGTTTTTGACAGTGTTGTAGAGAATTGTATTTTCTAGTTAATTATGGATTAAAATATAGTTAGAAGGCAATAGATTTCAAATGTTAGGAATAATATGTAAAAAAAGAAATAAATTGGGTATTTTTTTAAAAGTAGGCATAATTCGGCTCAGTAAAAATTAGGTTATATATAAACAAAGAATAATTCTTACCCAAATATATCTATATAATTTTCACGTACTTAGGAACGATGTTTTCTTTTGATAATAATGATATAAACAGAAGGAACGTGATAATTAGAGTGTGGATACAGAGGATAGTTATACCGACACCTTAGATACTACACGCATAGCTTTATATAATTGTATTACGATGTATTAATCGTTCATTAATACTTGTTGCAAAAAGTATTGGTCGGTTCTGATTTTTATATTTCTTCTGTTTATATCACTATTATTAAAAGAGTACATCGTCTTAAGTACTCCAAGATCATATAGATATACTTGGGTAAGAAACACTTTTTGTTTACAAATAAACTTATTTTCATTAAAGCTTAGAACTTATGGGACATTCTGTACTTATCAAAATATAAAACTGACCAAGAAACCTCTTCCGATTTCAATGACTTTTTTGCCTATAGTGTTATAATAAAAATTCATTGAAATCAGAAAAAATTCTCTCGGGAGCTATATTGGCCGACATCATGAATTAATGCGTCAACACAGCCCCTTTAGGTCTAAAATCTAAGACTCATATGTGTTCTTGCGCCTAATTATACTAATAGAAATCTCGTAATTTAAAATATTATGCAACGACATTTTTACATATAATTTATCGAAAAATTTTAAAAATATTTTATATTTGTTTTTTTTTGTATTAGCATTTATTGTTGCTAATTATTCAATACGTGCAGCTGCATTTTCTTCGTGGTCTTCATTCATGTCTCATATATATCGTTCAGATTTAAATTTACATAATGATGATATTCATCAACAACAATTATATAATCGTTTATTAAAATTATTTCTAACACCTTTTTTACCTGATTATACATCAAAAAATAAATTAGCATCAATAGCTAAATGTCGTGCATGGTTAATATTAGTATCAGCATATCCAAAACATATTGATGATGTAGTTTTACCATTTCTTTCATTTGCATTTGGTTATCATATATCATCGAAAACAGTTTCAGCACCAACAACATGGTGGTCAGAATGTCGTCAGATAGGAGAACAATGTCTTCATGATATATTAATTGATAATACAAATGGTGAATATATTATTAAAATAGCTGGTGATCAAATTATTAATTATTTATTTGATACAATTGTTGATGAATTAGTAGAAAATCTAATAGATGAAAATAAATCTTTAGGTTTAATTTGTTGGAATTCTTATTTAACTCATTTAACACATTTATTTACATTAAATAATACTATTAATGATAATCAACGTGTAGTAATAAATACATGTCTTTTAACACGTATTGAACAATTATGGATTGATTCACGTATATCAACACAATTTTTATTAAAATTATTTAATACATTCGAACAAACAGGTTTTCCGCTGGCTATTGAAACAGTATTACATGATTCAAGTATACGAACTAAAACATTAACAGCTACACAACATAATCGATCAGGCAAGTTTTATAAAAAATAAGTTTGTAGATGATCGTCTTGTGAGTAGAGTGTTCGTATTAAGAAATAAGGAAATAATTAGATAATACAAATATTTATAACTATTAATTGAAATCCAACTTTCATATAAAACGAAGGATAGTTCTCAAATGTGATTGTTCTTTCTTTAGTTCTATATTATATCGTATTTTTTAGTGAGTTATTATGTTATTAGAAGAAGAATAATGTATTACTCATAAGTAGTAATCAAAGCTCTTTTATCTCAGATTCAGGTTGAAAATTTTTTTTTTTTTTTGTAAGTATTGAAAGATATTTATAATGTATTAGGGCTGCGATTATATAGAAGCCACGACCCAACACAATTATCGCTATTTCAAAAGGCGATAGTTATTAACAAATAGAAGTGATAACTGACACATGTCTTATCTTAATTTTTTATATCTTACTGTGATGTATTTCTTATTTTTTTTTTCTTATTGGAATAGTTACTTATACATAGTAGCTATTCTTTGCCAATAAAGGTTTAATTAAGTGTTCTTATTCGCATATTTATAAAATAAATGAATATTAATTTACAAACTGCATATTAACGAACGATAGTACTGAGCATGACGACTATCAAATGACATGATTAAAGAAAGAAGTATGCATACTCATAGATATGACATAGTTTTTTTAACGATGATCGTTTGTCAAAGAAGCCAGCCTATACATCATATTACGAATGCAAAAAATTACGAAACAGCTCTTCTGAACTTAGTGATTAAAGACTTATGTCACACGTGTTTTTTTCCGCGTGTATATATATATATATTTAATTTCTTCGTAAATCCAATTCCATGAGTCATTAGTAATATTATATCATTATAATGTTCTATCCAAATATACTGATAAAATAATGGTAATATAGCACTTTCGCTTTCGATAAAAAGTGTACTAAATTTATATAAGACATTTACAACAGAAAACAAAACAAGTTTATGTTAAACCAAAATTAATTTTTTTCACTTCGAATGTTCTAACATCGTAGACCTATCGCTAAAGTATAGGAATAGTTTATTTGAGTAAACTCAATACAATTCAATGTTTTATCGAATGTTGAAGTTGAGATGGTGGCGCATTTTCAAAGATAAATTTGTTGATATTTTTTTAAAAGTCACCATTGTCCTACCGAAAGCAAAAATTACTATTCGAATCTTTAAAACGATTGTTATTGTTTTTTTTTTCTCTTTCACAATAGAAGAAAAATTATCATTACTTGATCAATCTTGTTCAAATCGTACAACATTATCTGATCAATATCTTCATATGATGTTAGAACATTCAATACGTTTTAATAATGATAATGATCAAATAATTGAAGAAACATATCTTCATATATTATCATATTTAATTGATACATTATCAAAAACATCTGATGATAATTTTTGTTATCAAACATGTTCATTATTACATATATATTCAGTTGAATTAACAACAAATCAATCATTAAAAATTTCATTTCTATTTTGGCATATATGGTTACGTTGTTCAACACATTTAATTAATATACTTAATCGTACACGTACAATAAATGAAAATAATCAACAACAAGAAACAAGTATTAAATTATTACTTCGTCCATTATCATTTAATGATAGTGAAAATCTTGATTATTCATATGCATTAATATGGACACAATTATTTAAAGCATTATGTCGTTTAATATTAATTGATGGTAAACAATTAATTAATTTATATATTGAATTATTTCGACATACATCTGTTTTTCAACAAACTATAAATAATAATAATAATAATCAACAACGTTTATTTGGTTTTATATTAACAATAATAAAATGTTTATTAAAAAATTTTATTGACATAGATTTATTATCAATATCAAAACGTTCATTATCATCAATTGTACTTTGTTATACACAATTATCAATTATAATTAATTCTATATTACAACGTTTATTATTAAATAATAATAATATTCAATGGTTATTTATTTGTTATTGTTTATTAAAATCAAATAAAATTTCAACAAATGAACAATCAAAATCAATTGTATTTACATATGTACGTGATATTATTGTTGATTTATTTAATATATGTAAAACATGTTCACAATTAGAAATTATTTTAACTAATTTAACATATTTACAATCATTTCTTACAACATATGAACAAATATTAACAACAACATCAACATTAAATTCATCACCGATATTAATTAATAAACAACAACAAACAGATAATATTATATTAAATAAAATTCTATCAACATTACATACTGTATATGAATCATCAAATGGTTTATCTATTTTAAAAATTATTTATCCATTATTAATCATTGCTTTTCAACATAATAAAACAGCAATTAGAAATAAAGCTAGAAAATGTTGGAATGAAACATTTGGACGTTTAACATTTATTGTTTATCCAAATGAACTTAGGTAAATAGATGATTTAATATGTTTTTTCTTTTCTATGTCTATTAGTTATCAAAACTATTAACTTACATTTTGATTGTAAAGACGTTGAACTTAGCAGTGGCGCCATGACAGAATATTCCTAATTGTTCAAGCACATGTTTTGCTTCTATACTATGGTCAGTCGATCGATTATAATGAGTAATTAAAAAAGAAGTTTGTTTTGGTCTAGCTTTCCAGTATTCGTGTGTTGAATCATGAGGGCTTTGCTCATTTTATTTGCCACTATCAGTATAGAATCGTTGAAAACCTGGATGATTGAGTTTCAAACTGGAAGATGATTATGAATTTTGCTGTCATTTTTGACTCCAGAATCGAATATGTTTAGATTTGTAGAGGAAGACTTCCTCTGTCTTATGGTTTATATTCTATTACGTACCGTTGAGTTATCAATAGAGAACACCACCATCGTCGCGCCCACGGTAGAATGCAATAAAGGTAGCGTCCTCTGTTGATAATTCAACAGTATGCAATAGAACGTGAGAGTGATCATGAAACGATTTGTAAACTTTTATTTCATATGAAAAATTATACTAAGTAGTTTCTTTTCACATTGCTTCTAAAATCCGATCAATCTCGCTAAGCATACGTTTGCTTATCGCTGATAACGCTGGAGTGGAATGGAATGTATTATTGGTCATGATTGTGGATACAAACATGAATGCTTTACATGTTCACCTTTTTGACAATTCATTTTCTTTTCTACGTATTAAATGACTTCGTCATATGGTTCATTATCATCTGCAGATCAATTTTCATTAATAAAAAACGAATGCTTTTAATAAAACAATATCGCTTTTCGCTTCCTTGATCTATTCTCATCTCCAATGCTTTTATATTGATAGATAGCAGTTTGAAAAATTAAAAATATTTTTAAACTTCAAGATTTTATCAACTGTCGGTTCGCATCCGAAACCATACTCCGAGTGCAGGACACTAGTGTGCACTCTCAACTGATAACTCACTTCGGCTAGATAAAACTTTATCCAAGAGCATCAAAAAATAAATTCAAAATCACACTCATACAACATTCTGTTGAATAATTTAATTTCGTATGTATTTTATTTAGAGCATGTCTTCGTGATCTTAAAGATAAAGAACATTTATTATTACCATGTTTTCTTGCTGATCATGATAATAGTAATATAACTGATAGTGGTTTATTACCAAATAGTACAGATGAAAGTCAATTATCTCAACAAGTTGATATCGTAACTCCATTAATAAATCCTCAACAATCATCTTCTGAACGTATTCATTCACCATGTTTAACAACAAATCATTTACAAAATGTCGATCAAATTGAATCAAAATTTCTTCCAATAATAAATAATACTAATCATGATAAGCAATCTGATTCTCCAGTTATTATTAATAAACCTTTTTCATCAACAAGTAATTGTTTAACAGAAAAACAAAAAGAAAAATTACGTACACGTCATGCAATACCATTACTTTGTGATGATAATAGTAATACACAATCATTATCATATACAATGGACACACCAACTATTGAAAGTATGATGACAAATTATCAACTTCGTAATACAAATAATGAAATTAAACAATCAACAACGGAAAATAGTGCATCTTTATTTAAACAACTAATTTCAAATTCTTCAATTGAATCATCACAAGAAAATAATACAACTGTTGAATCATCATCATCATCACCACCACCACCAACAACAATAGAAAATGAAACTTCATCTGTAGACATATCAACAAATAATAATGATGATGATGATATACCTGAAGAATCATCAATAGCAAAAAAACTTCGTCGTTCACGTCGTCCATCAACATCTGCACGTAAAAGTTTAACAAATAATTCAAAAAAAAAACGTACTATTCTATCATCAAATGAAGTATTAACAACTGTTCCATCAACTACATATGATCCATCATCATCATCATCAAATATTGAAATAACTAAAACACGTCCATTAAAAAGTATTCTTAAACGTTTATCACCAACAAAACCTCGACAAGATCATCATACACGTCGTGTGGCTTTTCATGATCAAGTTAAAGTTTTATTATTTGCATCACCAGCCCGTCAAGATATTAATAATCAACAACAAAAAAAGAAAAGTCCTAATAAAGATGATATGAAAAATTTATCATCAATAACAACTCGACGTTCAAATTTAATTAATAATAATGAACATATACTTCATAATAATAATAATAATAAAACACGTTCATCAAAATTATTTAATTTTTCTAATGATACAAAGCCGGAGGTAAGTTTTATATAAAATTTTGTAGATATATTGTCAATACTATTCAACTATGGAGTGAAGTTTGTTGAGTCCGGTTGATATGTTTTATTCCTGACTAGATAACCTGCACTCTTTTGTTGACATAGATGTTGTGTTGTGTTGGCTTTTTACATCAGTTCATGATCTTTTAGTCACTTTGATTTTGCTAATTAGTGACTAGAGATTTTGCACTGTTGTAATTTGTTTGTTGTTCATCGTTGTTTTAATTTGATTTAGAGATAAGTCTAGTTCTTTGTGATTCTGTTATCATCACATTCATTTTGAAAAGTCCAGTGTCTCCGGACCAATAGCTAAGGACACGAACTCTTCTTAACGTATTCATAGCGAATTTGAGTTTATATGTTTAATAGAGAATTCATTTACTCCAAAAAAAGATGCGGAAAGGAAAGAAATTGAATCTCAAAGTATTTGTATTATCTTTGCCTGAGAGCAAATCCAAACCAAAATAATAGAGCCTTAGTTGAAAATCGGAAAATCTTTTTCTGCATGTGTCGCATCACTAGTAAAGTAGAGTGTTGTTGATAATACCTTAACTTATAGTATCCAAACTATAGAATCTTAATCAATTCCACTAATAGGATATCTACAGTACTAGTCAAAAATATAAGACCAAAGTAATATTGATTTTCTTTCTACGATATCAAGCATTTAACTTAAGTTCAAATAGTATTTTGAATAGCCAATGAAGTTATCTATCGAATGCATTTTCATATCAAAATTTCATATATGAACTATGAGAAAAAGGTTTCGGACAAACCACATACTGTAGTTTACAGTTCTTAGCAGATTACGCGAAATTGGTTTTCACGACCTTCTCTTAAAAAGTTATATCTTTCACAATAATTAAAAAATAAGCAAAATTCATCGTAACATTGCAATAGGCTTTTTGTGATGCTTATAAGGTTTTAACCAAAAGTCTCAGAAAATACATCAAGACATCATTTTGTTCAAAATTTCGTGCTCTTCAAGATCATACCCCTTTAAAAACTAATTTTCATAAAATGTCTTTGGAAATGAAATTATATTGTAGAAAAAAAAACCATGACAGTCATATATTTTTGATCAATACTGTAGTCATGAAACTCGAATGGCCAGCCCATAATTACATCTGATTGTATTCAGATAACATAATTTAAAATCATTTGATCATTTACTTTCTTTTTTTAAACAAATTTCAATCTCAGCATTTTATTTTTAGTTATCTCCGAAACCAAATAAAACTGAAATACTACTTCCAATAAAACCTGCTGAACCAATCTATCCAGCACTAATTGATTGTGATAAACCATTAGATTCTCTAATTCATGTAGTATATGGTGGTGTATGGTATATATATATCTTATTCATCCTAACTAATAGATAAAATATTTATTGTTTTAGTCCTACCAATGCAATAAATTATTTTCGTTCAATAAAAATGAATACTGTTGGTGATATAGCACGATCAACAGCTGTACAAATTGAAGTTTATCCAATTCCACCACCAAAATTAGCTAATATTCAAAAAGCTCTTTCATTATATCAAGAACGTCTAATAAATTCTCCATCATTATCACCAATTATAGGTACAAATAATGAATCTCTTACACCAATTGCAAGTACATCTGAAGAATCAATCGGTATAGAAAACTAATTTCACACACGAATTCCATTTCTTTTGTTTTAGCAATTAGTGATGGTACATTTACAAAAGAAGCACCATCATTACCACCACCACCGCCATCATCATCATCAACAACAACAAATATTACTGATCCACATCATCTATTGTATGATGTTGATACATTAATTGATAGTCTTGATTATGAAAGACTTTATTTAAATGATAATAATGATATTGATGATGATATAGTACCACCATCAACAAGTCAAATTGATTTTATACGTACAAGACGTCAAAAAGCTTTAGTAAATCGTGATGAACAAATCTCACCTCAAAAACGTCGTTTATCAGTAACAAATAAAGATGAAGAATATATTGATAATGAAGAAGAAGATGAACAAATTTCATTAAAAAAACAACTTATTACTAATAGAACACTTGGTGAACGTTTACAAAACGCAGCTGATATATTTAAAATTAATGGTCAACTTCCATTTGATGATGATTATATTGAATTAGTTCGACAATTATTTAATAATTCATCATTAACACATCTTGAACGATTACATTTAAAAAGTTTATTTCTTGATAATTAGATTAACTTTGTGATATATTTTTCCTTAAGTCAGATATGAATATAATTTTCTGTTATTTTTTTTTTCTTTAAATCATGTGTTAGTAAATATGAAATATGTATATTTCATTCTCAATGTAGTAATTAGATTTATGAATAACAATAGAAGATACAAATATGATAACAATTCTATAAAGAATGATTTCTAATAGTAAACATATACCGAATCTGAATGTTTCAGTTCGATCTTGAACTAAAGTCATTTTCAATTATTTATTTAAAAAAAACTGTTAACACAAACCCTGTGAGATTAAAAAAATGATAGTTGAGCTTGGGTCGGGTGAAAATCGAAAGTTCATTTGATTATCCGTATCAAAAGACAGTCAACAAAGAAATATGTGAAAAATAAAATTTTCTTTGTTTTCATAGCTCTTCAATGCATTTAGCTAGAGAGAACGCTTTTTTGTGTACTCAAAAAGTGAGTATACTCTAGAATCGGTCAGTGTGTCTGGCCGTCCGTCCGTTTACACGATAACTTTTGAAAGGAGAGTCCGATTGCGATGAAATTTTCTACACAGTTCAGCCTTAACAATATCTCGATCGAGTTCGAAGATGAGCATGATTAGCCGAGCCGTTCCTGAGTTATTGCAAAAATACTCATTTTTCCTACGGCTTCCTATGCGAAAATCGACCCATCCCCGCTTTCGTAAAAAATGTTTCCTATCATACTCAAACAAAACCCCAACTATTATATACCATTCGATAGAGAATTTTACGAGCTACAAAATGGTATATAAAACATAAAGAAACAAGAAGGCTAAGTCACCTATTGCAGAGATACTTAAACGAAAATTTCTTTGTACTTTTCTGAGTTAAGGAAAGATTTTCTTGAGAAAATAATGATTTTTTATTAAGGTTGGCGAAAGCAAATCGGGGTCGCGGAATCCGAATCTGAAGTCAGATTTTTAAAATTTTGAACTTAGGTTTTTGGGTTAAGGAAAGGATTTTTTGAGAAAATAATGATTTTCTATAAAGGTTGGCGAAAGCTAATCGTGGTCGGGGAATCCGAATCTGAAGTCAGATTTTTAAATTTTTGCAAGTAGTTTTTTGAGTTAAGGAAAGCGTTTTTGTGTACTCAAAAAGTGAGTGCACTATAGGATCGGTCAGTATGTCCGTGCTGCCGACCGGCCGGCCGTTTATACGGTAACTGTTCAAAGCGTCGTCCGATTGTGATGAAATTTTGCAGACAGAATCGTCTCATCGATATCTCGGTCGAGTTCGAAGATGAGAATGATTCGTCAAGAAATTGTTGAGTTATCGCAAAAAAACGTTTTCTCTCATAATAAAACAAAAGCTCAGCTATTATATACCATTCGATAGAGAATTTCATGGGCTACAAAATGGTATATAAAACATTAAGGAACAGGAAGGCTAAGTCACCTATTGCAAAGATACTTAAACAGAAATTGCTTTTTACTTTTTGAAGTACACATAACACTCGAATTTAAATTCGAGGTTTCCACATTTTTTTTTTAATAACAATGAAAAAGCTATTATTCTTTTAAAGAAACTACTCTCTTCAATTGTCTAAGTTTGAATTTGTAAGTTGACAATGATGCTGTATAGAACCTTTGCAAAATCTACTGAAGTATAATTGTCATACTGCTTTATATGAATTTCCTCGATCATAAATTCATTCTCGATTCATTTTACATATTTTTGTTTAATTAATGACAAAATATCTTGTCGAACAAATTCGAGTTACTCGGTAAGTTCGTAAGAACCTTAGAACAGATTAATTGAACTGTAGATTAATGGAGAAGCTTATAAATGGTCTAAATTTATATGAGAGAATGTCACACAGCGAAGAGTATCAATAATAGATTGTGGTGAGGGAAGTTTTAATATAAAATTCAATATATATAATATCATATGATGAGTGCATTTAATCTTCTATCGTCTCATTAAGACTAATATTAAACCAGTAACAAAACAATTATGCTAATTCAGCAAAATATTGTATAGATGAACAGGTTCATCAATAAATCTATCGTACACTAAGTTCGATTTAATCCTTTGATGCTGAAGTTTTTTATATAAATGACAATAGATGTTTATTCAATGAAAAATCATTATCAAAAGTGTTTTAGGGTATGATAAACTTTGAAACAATAAATATTTTCATTAGTTTCAGATTGTTGCTATGATAAACATGCATTGACAAAATTTTTAATATAATAATGATATTGTTCTGTATTTTCTATAAGGTCATGAAGACTTTTTTGTATCTGAATTGAACTCGAACATTTTTAGTATTTCCAAATTGATGATATAACACAAAAAAATCTTGTCAAGCAAAGACAAATATGATTTCTTGAAACCTACATAGCTATAGAACATACTATTATTTATTCTTAATTTGACTAGAGTTGAAGTTAACTATGCATCTGTACGATAACAGACTAGAATGAAATGCTTCTCTCTGCTATATTTATCTTTTTCCATATCTTATAATAATTTCACAAAAGTCACGCATTACAAATCAACGTTCGAATGAAATCAAAGTGTTCTTGTGAATACTTAGATTGAGCATTTGTTCTTTTACTTCGATTCATTACGGGCATTGATAAGCAGATTGATGCTTTCAATCAAAATTTTACCTACACAATCATCAAATAAACAGGGGTAAATTTTTTCTTGATATTTTCAAATATCTCTTCTTTTTATATAGGAAGGATGTGAATGTGAATGAGTGATAAGAGAAGATCTTCATTCACATCCATTGTCTTTAAAACTCAAATCGACAAAGCTTTGGTCTGTTATTCGGCAAAGAAAGTCCATTAATACGAGATAAAAAAATTACTTGATTTTATTGAATAAGTCTTCTTAGAAGTCTTCAACTGCAAAAACATTCTCAGAAGATTCTATCTTGTGCATCGGCGTCTCTGTATTGAGTTCTGTGACGTACGATGATCACAAAGAAATTGAATTATGCTACATAATAATAACTCACAGATTCGACAAATGACACTATTTAATAGTCAATTTTTATCTCTTGTATCAAAATTAACTATTCTCTTTGGATTTTGTACAATGAGAAAACAAATATGACGATATTAATTGAACTTGATGATACTGTTGAAAATAGTCGACTTGTGAGATTGATTAAAGGTTCTAATTGTGCCTATTTAATGCATCTTTAAGACGAAATTTCACCTATACTATCTGATTAAAAATCATTACTTTAATTATGCCTTTTTCAGTTGAACTTCTCACGAATAGTTGTAGGAACCAAAGTTCACATGCATATTAACATACAGTAATGTTTATCCTTATGGAGTTTTATTGAAAAGATAAAATAATATTCAAGGACTATATCTGTGCTTTTTTTTCTTTTCTCTTGTTGTCATGTTTTTATATTGATTCATCTAATACGAAATAATAACTGTGTCACGACAAGATATAATCATTCATCTTGAAATGGCATCCTATTTGGCGTAATAAATTCTATTAATAATAACAGTCATCGTATATTCTCCAAATTTAGTGAAGACCGATGAAAAATTTATTTAATCACAGTTAGTTCTAATTCAAGTTGTAGACATATAAACAACAATCATTCACTTATAATCGCATACATTTCCTTTTCAATAACGAAACACACGACAACCATGAAAATCAACTTCTCGATCTTTGTATTATTGGTGTCATAGAATTACCGATTAGTAGTAACAAGCGAGAAAAATATATAGTAGTCAACTGACAACAATTAGAGATATTGATTTGACCTGAGTCATCGATCATTTTTTTTTGTTCTATATGCGATTTTATGGAATATACTTGCAAGAATGATTCAGATTGTTGCAACAAAAATACATATGGATATCCAACTGATTATGATTACAATGTGACACGATGTTGTGGAGGAATAGGAGTAACTGACTACACAATATATCCAACAGGAGTTAATACAATCTATTGTGTTCGTAGCCATCATTGTGTATGTCATAATAAAGTAAAGAAAATCACTTGGTGCGTATCATCCATTTTTAAAAAAGAAACATTTCTGTTCCATTTCATTTTCAAAAATACATATCTTTTTGTTAATTCTTGAAATTAAATAATGAGTTGTTCCATAGGATATATATATATGTATATCTATTACACAATATTTCTATAAATATGTTCGTTGTGAAACAAATTCGAAATTGTTGTGTCATTACAGCATGATTTTCACAATTCACTAGTCTTCGGTACTGCCCGTTCTACTTACCAACCATTAAGTACCATCAATGGGACTTCTCTTCCGTTTCGTAATGTATCTTCTTTGAAGAATTTCTTTGTTATTGAATATAATTTTGAATTTTCTCCTTTCTTATACTTGCATTCATACTCACATCCTCTTCTCATTGTGCCTCTCTAGTTATTTTCAAACGTGTTTGTAAGACGTATATTTTGTTCTCATGTGTATTTATAAATACAATTTAAATAGAAAAACAATTGAGATTATTCTTTTCAGGTTTTTGTTTTTCTTGGCCATAAGTATAAATTTTTGCCTGAGAAAAAAAGAACAAATCTTCACTTTCCGGCAAGAAACATATCGAAATAGTTAAATGACCTTAGACTTAAAAGACTTGAAGAGAGTTTTGCTTTGGAAGGTAGACATACAAAAGCATTTTTGATATCGGATAAGACATCGTTGATGATTGAGAAGCAAAAAATAAGTATCTCCGAGTTTTTTTTTCCGCTCAATTAGACAACAATTTCTAAACCAATTCGTCTCTAGTCACAGTTCGGCATAGCTCCAATTCAGAATAAAACCTATTTATCCTTGATTTCGTATTCAATGATGGCACATGATTGTGTTACTCTCAACCATTAATTTCCTATATTTTCTTGTTGAAGAGAATATAAAAAATAGAAAGAACGACAAATATTATTAGTGTATAGTTGATGCTCTGATAAAAATAATGTTTTTAATTGTGCTATATCATTAATATTTCTTATCAAAAACATGTCAACACAATTCATTGTAATTAGAATTATTTTAAAATGTATATAATTAGCTAGATCCATATCAACAGCCAAAATAGTTCACACATATTTTTTTTAATAATGATCAATTCAAGATGACGCTGCATTCTTATTTTATTGTCGTCACAGTTCATTGATGATGTTTTATAACATACATTGGTCGGACAGAAAGGTAAAACTTTCTCTATTTATGACGTGAATCACTCACGTATTCATAGTTTATATGAACATTTTGATAACAAATATTAATCAATCATATAAAAAATTAAAATTTTTCAACTTTCTTTACAATGTCGCAATTTGAATACATGTCAAACGAACTTATCCTTTGTATTTGGGATCAATTAACATCTGCAGATGTCATGTATAGTTTTCTAAATCTTAATATTCGTTTTGATTCATTACTGAAAGAATTTCATGGACTTTATAAACAATTAGATTTACGTTATTGTTCATTATCAGCTTGTCGATTCTTTTGTCATCAAGTATCAAGTACGATTGAATGGCGTCTTGGTCTTACTATTCTTAAATTAGGTAATATTTATCGATGTTCTCAAACGAATATGTTTGCAGATGAAGTGACAAAATCAATTGTTACAAATCATTTTTCAAAAGAAGAAAGATCATGTAATAATTCATCGAAAGATATCTTTCATACCTTAATGACGTACGATAAGCATATGCGACCAATATTTCCTCAATTGGTTTCTTTTATTGTTTTCCAATCTATATCGATTAGTGAAGATTCTCGAGATACATTATTATTTGCTGTGGCTGGTACATCTTCAATTCGTACATTTACTTGGAATGTTTCTTCTAATCAAACTCATCATTCAAGAGCTTTCTTTGATTGGTTATTTCGATGTTCAATTAATCTTATTAACTATAAATTACAAACTCCACAATGTGGAGAGGGTTTTGAACTTAAATATAAACATACAATCGTTAATTCTTATGTTCCTCATCATTCTCTCATTTCTCTCACAATCAGCATTCTCAATTTAAGAACACTTCATGTACTTCTTCATTATCTTCCTCAACTTGAATATTTAGGTAATAATTAGAATTCTAGACTGGAAATTTTCCAAAGAGAAGCAATCTTATCAAAAAAAAAAAAACTTGATTATTTTGATTGTATTATTAGAAAGTTATGAATTCCTTTTAAAACATTTTTATTTGTTTTTAAGATCAATATAACAAACATAGTTTCTATTTATTTTATTTAAAGATGTGCATATTATCAATATTATTGATTCTATTAATATCATCGATCAAAATCTATCAACAAAATTAAATTATCCAAAAAACCTTCGTGTGTTTAATTTAAGGTAAATTATATTCATATTCTAAATATTGTTTTATTAATTTTCATATTTTTTTTCGAAGACGTTTTAAAATTACAGGACCATATTGTATTTGTCTTGAGCAATTAATACATAAATTCACCAATACATTAGAAGAATTTTCTTTATTTTTAATTCATTACTGTCATGATGACCTTGACATATGTTTCGATGGCTATCGTCTTGCTACTCTTTGCAGTAGATTATCTCATTTGAGATCACTCCATTTTGCTATTCAATTACAGTTCAAAGAACCACCAAGCAGTCAAATATTATCTGATTTCATTCAAGCTTTTCGTACACCATTTTGGCTCAATGGATCTTTAGGTCGCATACGAGTATGTGTAAATTATCATCAAGTATTGCGTTTTGTACAGATGTTTTCCCTTCCATATACATTCTCCGGCAATACTCTGGTTTGTACAATCGATCTAATCGATGTACTATTCAACGACAGTGAAGAAGAGAAACAAACATTACATAATTTGTCTATAGTACTTAGACCTCTGTGGTATGGTCTGAAGTGGTTGTTTATCTCTTTAGTTCAAAATCAAAATATACCAATTTCATTTCTTTACGCACTTCAATGTCTATCTTGTCATAGTAAATTATTAATATTATTTTTTGAAAAAAAAAATACTTTCTTTATCTATCTATATCATTGTTGTAGACATAATACTGGCAATATCACACGAAAAAGGAATACTGCCAGACAATGTAGAAGATGGAATACAACTTATACATTTCACCACTCTACAATTAAAAAGTTCATTTAATATCAACAGTACTTATAATCTCCAACGTATGCTCAGATTTATTTTACTTTTTATTAGTTCGCTAAAAAAGAAATCATACACATTCATGGATAAAAATATCATAGTAAATAACTCGTTTTTCTGCTTGAGAAATTTTTCGATTTATGGTAATAAAATCAAGTCAATATAGATTTCGAATGATATTGCAAAGATTTATTTTACAACATCTCTCGATCGATTTTTGAAATGTCGCAAGTGATTCTCTTCATAGAATTGATCAAAAATACTATCATCATACTGCTGTAAGTCGAACAATCGATTGAAAGATGTTGTGAAATAAATCTTTGCAATAGGTTTAGAAATTTACGTTGAATTTATTTTACTTTTAAAAAATTCGAGAGAATTATTTTTTCAAAACAGAACAATCACTCTCGCGCATTCGTTTCACAATAAAATGAAAGTTTTCTGTTTAAATTCAAAACTATTTCATTTTGAATATTTTGTGTATATGTCACAGGCAAAATTGTTTTTTTTTTTGACGCTTCCATCAAATTCAATTTTGACTATTCTCTGTTCGTGATTATTTTATATCATCTAACGCTCAATTTCTTTCATTTTCATAAACAAAGTTCAATCAATTTATTCTCATCCTATTATCAATGATTTTGCACGTGAAAAATTTTATGAACTTGCTAAAAAATATATTGAGGTGGTAAATCCTAAAATTCGTAATAAAGCTGTTATCACTCGTGTTCAAAGCAAAAATAGTAATCAATGTACTTCACAACAAGCTATCTACTGTAAAAGGTTTCCGGTCGTTTGTTTCACTGGTGCAAACAAACGTTCGCGCTTCGTCTTATCGCTGGTCAATGTGATTTTAAAGAAGTTCAACCTGTTCTTTTAGACAGTTAACCCATCTCAACCGGTTCTTCTTCAGAATACACACACCCTATGCACACATTGGCTGGCACGACAACGAGTGTGGGTGAAGGGATGTGAGTATTCTGAAGAAGTACCTCTCAACCTATTTTCATCGCTTGCTCGAGAAACGTTCAATTCTTTTAGACAGATACTCCATGTGCACCCATTTTCATCAAAACAGGGCATACAGATACTGTAGGTAAAAAAGTATTTACTCATAATAAAATTTAACCAATTGTCAACGTCCCCATGTCCCCATCATCGAAAAAACTTACTAATTTATTATCAAATAAAAAAAATATTAAGCGTCTAATATCTTTGTCATTAAATAAACTAAAAAAAACTTTAAATTTTGAATAAACAAATGGACTTACATATTTATAAAAAATATTTTTTTTTTTTACAAAATCCAAGCGAAGCAATTTCAATCTCAATTAGATTCCAAACTCACCTCCCACATCTATATTCAAATAAACTCAAAATGATTTTTTCATTTAATACTAAAGTAATTAATAAAGGTGATGAAGAATGCCGAAGCCTCTATATCAATTTTTTCTTTAATCTCAGTTATGAACAGAGCTAATTTTGACTAGGCAAAATCATATCTAGTATTATCAAAAAAGAAATACTATCTTTAATTCAATTCTGCCTGAATACCAAACTTGCTTGACATATAGAGTTAACTTTAATGAATTTT